TGGAGAGATTAAAGGGTCTCCTGATTTGATTTGGATTCAAAGATTTGGCCACCAAATAGGGCCAAATCAAATCAGCGACCAAAGCTTTGCACAGCCCTAAAACAGGGGGCCCATGTACATGAGCACAGCTGTATGCACGCACATGGTCAAGAGTATAGCCAGGCAGCACAGAGAGCAGCTCCAAGCAGGTAAGTCTATGGAAGAGAAGGGTGTGGAGGAGGGAAGGGATGTGGGAGGGCAGATTGAGGCCCCTATGGTGAGGGAGGAAGTTGGGCAGGAGCAGGAGCTGGGGGCACTGCCCAGCCAGGACACTGCATGTGATCCGGGGCAGGGAGCAGAACAGAGCCACAGGCAGCTTGATCAGGGGGCACAGGCCCCTCACTGCTGCGCACACCCCAAGGGAAAAATGGGGGGACATGTCCCCCCATATTTGTACACTGGGCAGATATGAGCTGCTCGTTTTGGGCTTGGGGTTCTCCATTCTGCTGCCTTTCCCTCGACAGCCCCGTCTGTGCCAGCTGCACCCCCACAGCAGTGGGGGCTGTGAGTTCTCTCTCTCATTGCTGGGCAAGCAGGAGATGCATGATTGGCATGGGGCTCCCAAGTCAAAGGCATGAGGGTGAAGAGCTCTGAACACAGCCTGTATTTGCACTTACCCCACTTGGCTCGGCTGTGGCCATGGCAGGGATGGGAGGAGGAGGGGAACAGGGAGGAGAGGTGGGCATGTGTCACCCTATATCCCCAGTCCAGCTGGGTCCTGTCCTTCCTGGGGCCAGGTCCATTCAGCCTCCCCCACAGGGCAGAGGCTTGCCCTGCCCCGGGCAGCAGCAGCACCAGGAGGGGAAGGGTCCTTTTCCCCTCCTGGAGTCCAGCTCCCAGGACCTGGGCCCACCTGCAGCGGAAGAGTGGTCTGGTTTCTACAGGCCTGAAATAGTCTGGTGGCCCTGTTCTCAGCAAAGGAAGGAGAGCAGGGAGCCTGGCCCAAAGACCAGCGCCCTGGGCAGCCAGGAAGGCTCACACCTTCCCCTACGCAGGCTCAGGCAGCTGCCCTTTGGCACTCTTACATGTGGTTTGGGAGTGAGGGAGGCAGCGCTTTAAACATAGTGGGTCTAAAGAGCCGCTCTAATTAAAGTGCTGCAGCGTCTCCTGTATCAGTGTCCCTGCATTTAAAAATGGTGGTGGTGGCACTTGAACAAGCTCATTCGACAAGCTTTTGTCCAAGCACCCCCACTGACATTTTCAAGTGCCAGGACACTGACATATGGGATGCAGGAGGCTGCTGGAGTATGTAAAAAAAAAGGTTTATTTATGTTAGTAGTTTAAAATGCCTTGGATTATTACTAAATATTGGTTATCAGATCAGCATCAAACAATGTGGTTGGTTACTAAAGGGCTATCTGTATCAGCCAAGAAAATCTTTATTGGAGCACCCCTAAGAACTACTACACAGCCTGGTTTTATAAGTCATCAGCACCCAAAAGCCTAAGGTCTTGCTTACACAAGATAAGGTGGTTCTACATACACCTAATATCTGGAACACCAGGAAAGGTTGGCTGCCGGACTGGAAGTGACCAGCATACTGTGGACCAGCAACCAACCCTTTTTCAAACTGAATATGAAAAAAAAAAGGGGTGGCTGATAGTCTGCAGATTGCCAGTCACTTCTGGTTTGCAGTATGCTGGTCTGTAGCTTGCCAGTCTGCAGTCTGAAAAGATTGGGAAGTACTGCTCCAAGCAAATCCTAGTCCAGTCTAAGAATTCAGCTGTGTTAGGGCAGTGGGGGCCAACCTTTTTGATAAGCGTGCCACAAAAAAAAGAAAAAGAAAAAAACCCCACAACTCCATTAGCTTCCCAATGTCCCACTACAATTCCCTTCCCCTGTCCAATCCACAGCTCTCCTGCTGCCTGTCTTATCTCCCACAGTGCTACCTGTCTGCTCCCAGATTTGCCATATGCCATACACATAGGCTGCCCATGCCATTTGGGGCATGCATGCATAGGTTGGACACCTCTATGTTAGGTGAGAAATGTTAGGCTTTACATTTGCTTCTGAAAGTTATGGAAGTATGTAACATCAGTTTCTTAAAAATTACCAGCAGCCTTGGTCTTTGACTCAGCCAGCTCAAGATTCGTTGTACCTCTGTTACTAATTATAGGCTTGCTCTTCTTCTTGCTATCAGGTGTGCAGATCTCCAAGTCTGGACACTTTCTAGATGGAGTCTTGGCAAGGGAGCGCTTGTGTTCATTGTCCTTTGTACTTCCTGAGAATCTGAAGCAAATATTTGTTGGAAACATTTCAACAGAATTAAGACCTATCTGCAGGAAAAAGAAATGTTACTTGCTACAATACACAAACCCATACCACCTTTACCATGAATATGCAACAAGAATTCCATCTTCATCAAATACTGTCAAAAGCAACAGTATTTGCAACAATAGCACTGAAGTGTTTTCTTTCATAATGTATTATTGATAAATAATTATTCTGTAGATACAACTTAGAGAAGGAAGGAAGCTGACGCATTAAGATGCAGATTTTCTTGGCAATAGCCAACAGATTCCTTAACTAAACAGTCATTGTACCAACAGAGGGGATGTTTTTTCTAACATTCCTTTGATGAGTAATGAGGCCATCAAGAGAATAAAAACTTGGATTAAGTTAATTAAGGGGCAATTACAGCAAAGGAAACATGAGAATTATCACTTATACTGTGAAAGAACAATGAGCTGAAACAGCAATAGATTTAAAAGGGCCATCCCCCAAACACTAAAAAACCTGGTATGTCAAGTTTTAAGCCAAGTACCAAAGATTTCTAATAAAACTAAGTGGGAGTGGCACTGCTCGACTGGAATATAGCATATACAATCCATATAATTTAAAGAGGTTCAAAGAAAGATTCAGGCAACTACAGATCTGCAACTCTGATCTCAATAGTAGAAAAGGCTTTAGAACAAGTATTGAATAAATATCCAAAGGTAAGTCACATATGGTAAAAAAAATTAGGGGTACACTGATAAAGATTTTTGGGGCCGATACCAATAGCTGATTTAAGGAAGCATAATTGACCAATACTTATCTGATTTCCGATACAGCTGCCTCCAGCGGGTAAGTCCGGTGCAGTGAAAGGGATGGGGGAAGCAAGGGGGGCAGATGAACGCCCCCCATGGTGAGGGATGGGGCAGGGGCGGAGCCACAGCTCGTGGTGGGGGAGGTGGCTCCCACTGATGCTTGCACCCCGGGAGGGCACTGGCAGGGGGGAGCTGGTGGCAGTGGTGCTGGGAGCGGAGCAACAATGAAGTTTGGGGTGGATGCAGCATCCTCTCAGCACCAACAGCACCCACTCCAAGCCTAGCCCCCACTGAGAAAAGCCCTGCTGCAGCCTGCTCTGCCCCATGTAGATCCAGGGAGCATACAACCCCTGTGCCCTCCCAGGGTGCAAGCAACAGTGGGAGCTGCCATGAGCCACGGCTCCACCCCCC